GTCCAAGTTGCAAGAACATATCAACGAAAAAGATCAGATCGACGAGGAGGCTCACGACAAAGAGCGCGTCAAAATGCAGTTGAAGCAAACCCACTTGAATGGGCGTGATCCTGCACTGGCCGTCAATCTCGCGATTCAAAAGTCAGCAAAAGGCAACCATTGAAGGCATGGCACCATGGATGCAGCCCACAGCCCAAAAAGGTTTGCAGTCGGTATGGAAACGTAGGTGGCCCTTGCAAAAACCGAGGAAACATATCAGCAAAAGGTTTGCACAAAAAACATCCCTCACCGCTTGAAAACACCCATCTGCCAAGGAGCAAGGCAACGAAAATCAGGCCGACAAAAGTGGCGCACTGCCAGCAGGTTGCAAAGCAATTGCCTCGGCTTCCGAGGTTTCAACCCACCCCAAAAAACACACACTGTGGGACCAGTTGGGATCATCATTGCAAAATTACACTCTGGTAAACTAACATTGCTATTGAAAATTGCCATTTATAGTTGATTTGTCCATTAAAAATTGTGATCTTCTATAGTTATGTTAGTTTACCAGAGGGTAAAAGCTGTACCCCCAACCAACATGTTTGAACCCACCAACCGGCCGAGATGCTGTCAGGATTGATGACGTACCAGGGTTTTTCCGCTGAGAACTGTTTGGTCCTTCCGGAAATGGCTGAGTCAAGCGCACAATCCAACTCATTACTAGTGCTAGCAGTGCCCAACCAACAATAGATGTGTATTATAGATATCCTATTCGAAACTTCAACAGCTTCTCCAGCGACCAAAACTGGACATTTCCAACTGTGAGAGGGCGACCTATTCTGCCCATCTCAAGTTATATGCATATTGTATTATAGTTGAATTATATGTAAAATATACAAATACAATGATATCAATGTGTATATATATAATATATAAGTAAATATATAATATGTATGTATAAAATGTAATGATAATATGTATATATATATATGTAATAATGACATATAGATCCCGGTCTGATCCGGTCAGTCCGTTGCGCCAATTTTTCGAGCCGCTCTTCCGCCGTAATTCCTGGGCACCAAACGTCACCAAGGAACTAATCTGAGATCAGATCCTTTAAAAACAACTTACTGGTGCTTAGTAGGGAATGGATGGAAATGGGGGAATGGGATGATTATTACTAGTGATTGTGGATCATTCCATCATTCCCTGCTAAGCACCAGTAAGAAAACCAAGGAACTAGCACAGAGTTCGAAGCCACAGCAGTACACAATTTCAGTGTTCAAACATGAGCTAATGCGTCGTGTTGGAAACTGAAGCACCAAACATCAGCAAACCAATTGCTTGGTAAGCCCCTGGATGGAGGATTTCAAGGTTTCTTTGTAGCCAGGGCAAGAAAGATGTGTGCCTACATTGGTTGTGAAAGTGGGGTGTTACACGATGCCTTGTTGTGAAAGTAAAAATAAAGGGTTGTGGGACTGTGAGATAGTGGTTTGTTGTGATTGTGAATATCCATGACACTGAAATTTCTCTCATAAACTTTGGTCCTAAACTCCCCTGGCTTTCCGCATAGTTGTCCACTAGTGGTGGCTAAACGGAATTATATTGCACATGCTTGTGCTTGCAATATAATGCATAAATATATCTGATGAATTCTGATTATATCTGAATTTGTCAATATATAGACGTGTAAACAGACACGCCAACATACTGACACATACATTTCCAGTCACATATCATATGTGTATGTAGTATACACAAATATACAATTGTGATTAGAATCATGTCATATATGTGCATGTATACCCTATGGATCCAGACCTGAGAAGGTACGGCCCGGTAGTTACGGCTGGATCCATAGAGATACGTACATATGTTTATGTAATATAGTGCTGTATGTATATATATATATATATAGAATAATTACATATGATACCATATTTATACCATATTATGTGTAAAATATACGTATATATATATATATTTATTTAAAATAAAAATATGTATTATATATATATACATATTATACACATATTATATATACATATTATATATCCATGCCATGTCTACCCTAGATTCTGCCGAGTGGCGAACCATCAAGGACCGGGTGCCCGAGGACTCGGAAGCGAAACCTCAGGGTCCGGGCTTGAAAAAACACCGGAAAACATGGCGATTCATGGAGGATTTCAAGAAGATTTCTGGGAATTTCAGGTGATTCATGGATTACCCTCTGGTAAACTAACATAACTATGGAAGATCACCATGTTTAATGGGTAAATCCACTATAAATGGCCATTTTCAATAGCTATGTTAAATTACCAGAGGGTATATATGATTATATACATCTAAGTCTATAGCATTACATCTAGCTTTTTTGAACATGTAAGAAATGTTTTTTGAGAAATTGATGGAACAGGGAATCTCATCCATCCCCCGTCATAGTTTTATTACACAACCAGTCTAGATTCAATACCAAAGCTTCAATTTGGATGACATCGACACGAATTTACTGGTATTATTCCATACCTGCGGGGTCAGGGCCTCAACCTCCGGTCATCAGTCAACAGCGCCGCCAAGACACCTGTTGACCGTCGATGTTGGTGACTACTCCGTGGTGAGCGAAGATCTCCCGCGAAGGACACCTTCGGAATGCTACAGTGGATGGTTGCGAAATCCTGCACCAGTTGATAGGTGGCTTATCCCATTATTTATAGGGTTTCAACAAGTTTCAACCATCCTTTTGGTGGTGCAGGATTTCGTCCATCCACAGCATGGCAATGTTCCAAGAATGTTTGTTGAAACACACATTCTTGCCCGTAAAATACAAGATTTGATTGTCGCAGGACTTATGTTGCATGCCAGAAGTTATGAAAAATGGGAAAGCAGGTGCTTTCCTAACGATTGTGGATGCATGTGGATGCTATCCGATAGCTATCCAAAAATTGAAATGTACCATGCATTCTAGCTCCCAAAACGATTCAAAAAGTTGTTTAAAATGGACCCCCAACCAATCCCAAACTAGTTGACCAAGAGGGAAGCCCACTTCAATCCACTTCAATGCTGGCACCTGGCTTTGCCTTCCTGCAGGAGCTCCTGATCCTACAGGAACGACCCTGCCATGGGTTGGGGATGAAAGACTTCCTCAAAAAATGGTTCCTCAGGGTCTATGTTTGTGGGGCAGTTGGGTTTGTTGTCATATTTTCGACTATGGATGTTGATAGAGATATACAGGAAGCCAATGTTCAGACAATTGATACCTGATGACACTTGGCAGCAATGTTTCTTACTGTTACTTGGAACGTTTACATACAATAGCAAATATAAGTTCGATATACAGCCCCTCCGAGAACAACTGGTTAACATAGTTAACTGGTTGGTGCCTCCATTGCCCACCGGAAAAGATGATTCGTCATTGCGGATCACACCCAGGATGGCAAAATATGGCAAATTAAACAAAAAAATATTTGAAAGAACCAAAGATGAACATCACCCATGAATTTTGGCTCAAGAAGCTTGGCTTACGAAAACGCAAATGGTGCCAAAAACTAATCTCCTCAGAGGAAAGGCGTCCGAAGAACTGAGCAGCTTGTGAATCTCCACTACACCAGGAGGCATAAACCCCTAGAAGAACTAAATAGACCATCAACCAACCGTCATTTCTGGATATTAAATAAATTAGGTCATTGTTTGTGATTAAATAAGTATCCAAATTCACAGTTTAACCCTGAAATCTACCCAATCAACGCAATTTATCATGTATAGACTACACACACATACATACATGTGTATATATATATTAACTATATATATATATATATAACTATATATATACCACTAGTTATACATATATATATATTTATATGTGTGCAGTATATCATTATATAATTATATATCCATGTTTGATGTTTAAACAATTGTTGAACCCCATCCTTTGAAGATAGGCACCCCATGGTCAAACCATGTCAAACCCTCGTTTTCGAAGATCAGCGGACCCAGCGTCCTGCTGGAGGGAAACTCTTCGCCAGGTTGATCGAGGTGCTTGTCACCAAATGGTCGATGGGAGGAGCCTCGTGAAGTTCCTGAGCGCATCAATATGTTTCAATGGGTCAAGCCATAAAAAGACCCTGAAAGTGGACCCAAAATGGTGAGACTTTAAAGGCTGGTTGACTTAAGGCCATGAATATGTCTGAATCCTTCATGTTTTGGGGGATGTTCTTACCAACGAAATATATGAAGTCCGTGCAACTGCCCAACAAAGCTTTGCTCAGCGTTTTGCAGCAAGATCTACAGATTTGAGAATTGATTGCCCTCCAAAAACTCTAGTTTTTCAACTGGTGTTTTAAAAAATCCACCCAGCTCGCAAGAGGTTTGAAGGTTGGCCACATGGTGCCACTGTCAAACTCCAACTTACTGCCGCCGCCTGCAGCTGAGAAGCTTTCAAGTTGCGATTTTCTGCTTGTAGCGACTGGAGCCTCTCATGGTGAAACCTCAGTTTCACATTGCCAAACCCATTTTTGTGGCTGAATTATAATAATTCCGTAGCCTGAAAATAGCTGAAAGAAGCCACTTGGGGATGATTCCCCTTACCAACCGTCATTCTGGTGAGCTCTTCATAATTCAGATTGTTGGATACAAAAACAATCACAGAAACCACAATCTTTGAAGCTTACCCGGCTCTGACACCGGTGCCCGTTCCAAGGGATCCAAGGGAATCAAGGGGCTCGAGCTCTTGGGAGAGCTGTTCCAACAATTCCTTGCACCGGTCCATCGGCGGCAAGCGTTGGCTCCGGCCCCGAGCCCAAACGAAGCTGCGGCCGAATGCAACACATGCGCATCATGCGACGAAGTGACAGATGATATATTATGAAATTGGATGAAACTTGACATAGTTTGACAATGTTTGACATCATGTATCATCACACTTGGCATGCACCTGTAAACCTTGGAGATTCTCGCCATCTAAGCTGTGGTTTCCTTGGCTATGACCAGCTGAGCTGGGGCCCATCGGCCCATCGGATCCAGGGCCTTGAAGAAGAACGGCGGAAACCCAAGGTCTCCTGAGACCCAACTGCACACACATATACCGCCCCCCAAGAGTGGTGGCCACACTGAAGGATCATCCAAGAGTCGCCATGAAGGCCCTGAACATAAAGACAAAGATCCTTCCAGATCCTTGGGGTCAAGTTGTCTGACAGTTGAGCCACATATTTCTTGAGGAACAATTCCTTGGGATCATCATTTTTCCACACCGTAATAATATGTAATAATTATTAAGGGCCTGCTGTGTTTGGAGCCTGTTTCATGTGCCTTGGCCCTGAAACTACTGGAAAAACACAAAAAACCATGGAAGCCATGAGAATACCAGTTATTTATAGAGTTTATAGTAAAATCAAAGTAGCCCATCACCCCAAAAAAAGATCGAAAAGTGGCAAGGAGGAGGGTACTTCGATGATATTTGCCACATATTTCCAGGTGGTCCAGCCTTTTTCTACCACGTGACCTCTTTAGCTCTGGGGATCGCAACTGTTTCCCAGCCAAGACACCTGGCAAATCCACATGAGAAAGGCGGGCCACCCAAGCCCCACACGCGAGCCAAAGGGTGGCGGACGGTGGTAGTGGCGGATGGGTATGGTATGGGTCAAGACCCTGGTACCCCTGGTGAACCCCCAAATAGCTCAGAAACGGATGTCCATCCCCAAATTTAGCATATATATATATATATATAGACAGTACTTAACAGGCTTTGATCCAGCCCCACATGCGAGCTCAGTAGTCTGTCTAAAATCAACTTCAGCTTGGAGGGGTCAACACATTTTTCATGGACTCAGTGATTCGAATCGGATGCCGAGCAGCACTTTGACCCGGGGACTCCTGGATGGCGCTGAGGAGCGCGGCTTAGAAAAAAGGGTCTCCATAGCTGACTGGAGCCTAGTCCCCATAAACATATAAAAACGCTGAGCTTGATGTTAGCCCTTGTGCTAAAGTGCAATCCCTTCCTCCAAATCTTCAATACCTCACTCCTATCCCTGGTTTCCTATTGGATCCATTCATCTTGGCTTCTTTCTTGGGTGTATTTCATATAAAGGGGGAAGTGCAGGGGTTACTATATTATGAAACCATCTGACAACATTGAAAGAAACATCAACCCGCCAGCCATCAACTGGGCATCAGTCAGATCTGTCAGAAAGTTGGCCTGATATCGTCCAGCTTGGCAAGGTTCGCAGCCTCAGTGCAGGTGGCATAGGTAAAGGATGCCCCATCAGTGGGTGATGACTGGGGAACCTTGCAACTGGAAGGTTGAAACGCATTTCAAAACGCTTGTTGTGTTTCTTAGCAGGCAAGGTAACTTCTGAAGCCTGACGAGTGGTTGGCCACATGGGGCCTCCCAACTTGGATCATATCACAGCCAGCACAGGCTTGGAACATCACAAAGCCTCGGAACCTGTGGCGAAAATCTGGGAAATTCATGGGAACTCCTACCCTCTGGTAATTTAACATAGCTATGGAAAATCACCATTTTTAATGGGAAAATCCACTATTAATGGCCATTTTCAATAGCTATGTTAAATCACCAGAGGGTATATCATTTTTGGTGAACAAGTTCTGGACACTCTCCGAAAAAAATATCGCCTGTTTTGAACATCTGCATTATGGAAAAACATCCACGAAAAAGATCCAAAAAGTCAGCCGAGGGGCTGGATCCGCCAGTGGTGCCAGCAAAGTTACCGGGTGAGCACTGCAGGCAACCAGCCAGACTGGTGACTGCCAGTCCGTTGCTGACTCGACCAGCTGGGCACTCCTGCTGGCATTTGGTTCATGTGTGCAAACAATTGCAAATACAGTTCCCTACCTACCCACGCACACGCGCACGCACATACATTTACATACATACACACACACATAATATATATATATATATATAATGTATGTATACTGTATAATGTGATATTATAATATTATATATAGGTGTATTGTGTATATATATATACATACGACTATTCGTCATATCTATCAATCTAGCTAGCTACCTATCTACCTATCTACCTATCTACCTATCTACCTATCCACCTATCCACCTATCCACCTATCCACCTATCTACCTATCTACCTATCTACCTATCTACCTATCTACCTATCTACCTATCTATCTATCTATCTATCCTGTCTAAACTACTAGTCTACAGTACTCTAATATAATCTAACCATATCTAACCTAATCAAATCCAATCTATCTAAGTGGAGTGAAGTGAAGTGAAACCCACATGCCTAGTTGGTGTCAGGGTGCAGGCAGAAAACAACTAATTATATATATATATAATTTGATACAAAAGTTTACACTACATCTGAAGAAATTCCAACCCCATGTTTCACCAAAGCACCCTTCTCTCAAGCAGAAATTCAGAAAAATCATCCTTTTGAATTTGCGCAGTGCATATATATATATGTGTGTGTGTGTGTGACTGTTTAATTTTACTTGAATGAGATGTGAATATGCCCCGGATGTTCAGTGCATGAAAAAAACGTTCCACTCCAGGCCTGACAGGCCGTTTCCAGCGAAATGCCTCCAGCCTGGGGAAGACTTCCAGGCTTAGGAAGCTCAAGGGGGCTACCTGGTAGCCATCTGATTGCCTGAATTTCAAAAATCAAAACTGGCCATTGATTTTTAAGAAAGAAATCATCATCTTTAGCTACTATATCTACAAATATATCTAGAAATGGGTGTTGTTCTAGTGTCATGAATACCCTCCGGTAAACTAACATAGCTATTGAAAATGACCCAGTCGAAATAGTGGATTTCCCATTGAAAATGGTGGATCTTTCCATAGTTATGTGGCTGTTTACCAGAGGGTACCACATAGCTGATACATGTCGTGTAAAGCCAATAAAAAAATGGCCATCATCCCCCCATATCCCCCCTCACCTGGATTCCGTATCGACCCGCGCCACAGTCTTGGCAGGCCTTAGGAACACAACGAAGGGCCGTAGGGAAAATCTTCACCGGAACCCACCGGCTTTTGATGGTTTTCCCATGGTTTTCTCCATGAAATTCTGGGGGTTCCTGTTAAAAAAAACTTCCCTAAACCAATCCAATGACTTCTTCTGTCCATTATAATCATACTGTTTGATTAGGGAAATTGACTATGTGATTTTGATAATCCCAATATTTTGGGTGGCATAACCCCCCCATAATCATTGACCAACAGGGCTTTTGAACATTGCTCATTTGACCCATTTTGGTGCAGAGGTTTACTCCTTTCATGACATTTGACTCAATAGGTCTCAAAAGAGCTACTAATAAACAAATTGCCAAGGTCAGTCACTGGATATTGGTATGATATCCCCAGAGCCGCCCTTCAGAAGCAGCCAGAAATCTCTGCACAAAATTGCTTCCTATCCAGCTCCGCTCGCTGCTCCAAGAAACAAATGCTGTACTGGCAAAGCCAACCAGAATATTTGCCATCAAGCACGTTCCCATGACAGTATGGCATGTTGAATCCAGGAAATGCATAGAAATGCTAAACTAAATGCTGTTTCTTCGGCTGATCTGCGTCCATCATGTTGAGCCTCAACCAGCACAAATCATCACAAATCCCCATCCTCAACCCCTGCACAACCCCTGCTGCGAAGATACTTCTGCACCCTGGGTATCGGAAAACCGGCCCCGTGAGCAAGGTATGCAAGCAGTACGATGGGAATTGACGACGTATCCCGCCTGTCACAGCATGTCACAGCGGAATAACTGAAGGTGATGTCTTGCGACAAAGGCATCACACGAACAAAGAAAGCACACAGCATTTTTTCCAAAAAGTGTTGATTGACAGATGATACTGTGGATGGAAGAAATCCTGCACCACCTTGGATGGTTGAAACCCTATAAATAATGGGATAAACCACCTATCAACTGGTGCAGGATTTCTTCCATCCACCGTATCACGTGAAACACCGAAGCAGAACACCAAAACATGTTGGTCCGCCTCGCATTGTGAACAGGAGGCCTGGAGGCCGCACCAGGTGTGAAATTTGAAGATGATCCGTGGGACAAAAATGTAGGGGCCATTATAACATGGACATACATGGACTGGAACATGTGCAAAAATGTGTGGAAGTGGTGGGAACTCTATGCGATTCTATGGGGTATGCATATGTATATGAACCCACCGGTTGTGTTCATCTACGAAGCTGCTAACTCGCTAGCAATGACTCGCCACCGAAGCAACTCAGTAATACTGCAGACCAGTAGTGATGATTGGCGATCGGCTGAGCTTGGATGCTACAAATTTCAGACAAATCATGAGAAAAACATAGAAAAACTGTGGTCTCAAAACTGTGAGAAAAAACAGCCATCCATTGCTATCCACGATTCCACCTGCTTCGAATCGCTGTACCTGGCCACAGGGCACTGCTCACAACCTCGGAATGGGGCAAATAAAAGCATACAGTGACTCAGTGGATGTGGAAAAGTCATGAAAACATCTGAAAAACCATGGTTTCCCTAGGAACTGACCCATGAATTGTGGACTTTCCATATCTATGTCAGGGTTCAGCTGTAGGGTAATGCTTACGACAACAGCTGCTCTTCCAGTTCTGGGGTCCCACACTGGTGGGACCTTCATAGAAACCAGCCCCACAATCAGAGCAAGAAGATGAGCCCTGCCCAATGATCCAGGTACTGAAGGATTTTTTCCCCAAAACCTATGGGATATAACATGATCTAACCAACCAAGTTCTGTGGGTGTATGTGGGTGTAAAAGCACCCATGAAAATGGGGAGATCATGGGGATATCATGGGAAATGATGAAACACGGCAAGATTTTTGGGAGCTCTACTTTCAAGCAGGCCCATGGCATATACCCTTGATGCCTTCTGTGATGTCCTCAGGGGTCTGGTACGAGTAGTTTTCAGCTCAAAAAAAAGCGCGAAGAAAATCTGAAAATCCAGACAGATTTACCGACTTCATGGCGAATGGTAGGTCCCCAGCAATCATAACTGGGGTATTTCACCATTCACCTAGTAGATAGCAAAAATAATAATTGAGACAATAACATACAACAACCCTAGAAAGGGAGCAACCTCCTACACCCAACAATAAACACTCCCCCGAACTGGCATTCTGTCTCTCTGTCAATATCTCTCTCTCTCTCCCCTTCTCTCTCCATCGTCACTAGACCGAAAACTGATTCAATGTGGGGTTTCAAGTCCTCAGGATATGTGGAATTGAATGAAATTGATTCTGATTGGTACAGGATGGCCCCCAGTGGCCCCCAGTCACAAATAAACCGCTCCAACTCCCCACGCCTCGAAGCTGGCTTGTCCCGGTTGACAGTCTTCGCAGGCCGTTGAAGCCGACCTTTCTCGGCACAAAATTGACTTTTTTTTGGGGTGCCGCCAAACTCCGAATGCAACAAGAGATGTTGAAATAGCTAATGCACTTCAAGTACATGAGCAAGTTGGGTTCTATCGTGTTCTATCTATATTATGTTGTGGTGTCTTATTGTGTTACGTCATATGACGTCATGTCATGTTGTGTCGGTTCGTGTTGTGTCATGCAATGGGATGCCAGGTCATGTGATCTCCTGGCATTCCATGTCATCCCACTTGGTAGGTATGAGTAGTGAAGCAACAATCACTTGACAACTGCTTCAGGAACATTCACAAACACATGTAGCCATGTGCAAGCATGTACGGTACTGACGGTAGTTCTATGCAAGGGTAAGTGCCAAACTAGATATGTAACGATACTCCAATTCTTTCCACCTCAGTTATACAGAGATACAGTATGCTATATGTGTGTGTGCGACATTATCCAAATCATTTAGAAGCAGCCCAAAATGATGATAAACATATTCAAGGATTGGCGACTCCAAATCCAATGATTATTCATCATTCCCATTTCAAACGAAGCAATGAGGGTACACCATTTTCAGACAAACACAAGTAACACAAGTACGCAAACAAAGAGTTGGTGAGTTCTATCATGTTATATCCTAGTTTTGAAGCCCGCATTATCATGGTGAGATCACCATAAAATCCCATAAATCATCCGGTAAAATCAGGGCATTTGGCTTGATGATTGTCTCATTTATATATGTTTGATTGCCAGAAGCTTCATCCACCGAAATAATCCGAAAAATTCCATATCCCCATGAGACCATCTTAATCCACCAATATGCCATGAATATCACACCATTTTATCCCAATATATCTTCATTGTCCCATTAAATCTATGAATATCCCATCTATATATATATATCCCATGATTATCCATATTATCCCATTATTCCATGATTATTCCCATGATTTTCGTTGGTAAATGGCACCATCTGAGCCATCTTGGGCTGCGTTTCGATCCCTTCCCTTAGGCCCCCAGGCTGCGAGGCAAAGGTCTTCACGGGGCACGCCACACATCTCGGTCCGTTTTTTCGACACTGCAGGGCGCAACTTTCTAGGGCGCAACTGAGGTGGAGAAATCCATTGGGATGTGTATACATATAGCTTATATAATTTATATATATATGTATATATACACATCAATGCACAATGCACACTAATTCTACCCTATGGATCCCTATGGATCCAAATACCTTCTTAGGAAGTGTTGGGGGTATGATTTTGAGGGTGAAGAGCCTTTTACGGAGGTGTGTGGATCTGTATCTAGGGAAGTATATATATATATATAAATAAATAAATACATAAATAAATACAGTAATTGTGCCAAAGTAGATAGAATATGGATGAATATTGATGTTTTGAGAACCATATTTATATAAGTGATGTGTTTTTTTTGGAAGTTCCATATTCTATCTACTTGAGGATACATATGTATAGTCGACTTGTTGGTTTTAACTCGATCCCCGACACTCTTTTAATGAGCTTCCTGAATTCTGGGTAGTGTTGCTGGTTTCAACATGTTTTGTATAAGTTCTCACGGAGAAATAACATAAGCCAATCAGGGCCAATCATTGCAGGCGGAGGTGAACTGAAAAACCGGCCATCGTTTTATAACACAGGACAAAACAAGTCTAGTGCCATCCAGTAATCAAACATGGCCAACTGGATGTGACTGTAAATCCTGCAATTCCTCATCCTGCCTTTGATATTCATTTCGGATCATTGCAGGATGATAGACCGAACCATTTATGCCATGAGGGTGTCCTGTCTTGATGTAAAAAATTACAGGACTGGTAACTCATGTCTTCCAAAAACCACGTCAGAAGCATGGGGAACCGCAGGCCTAGCAACAATATGCAACAATTCACTCTGCCCTCAAAACTACCCACCATACGTGGTTGGCAACATCTCCGAACATAGAACCCCGAAAAGATCCCAAAAGGTCAAACAACAAATCTTCTTCCAAACACTCAGCCTATTTTGGAATTTATAAGCAACATCATCTTCCAAACCGATCTTTTTAAGGGGTCCTTTTTGGTGTCCTACAGTATATACAGAATGACAAATACCACGGTGATACCAATGGTGATATTTGTCATATTTCCTCCAGGCAACGTTTCGATACTCGTGGCACTCACCAATGTGGAAATTCGTCCCGCAGCGCAAGCGATGCACGTGCTGATGCTACCACCCTTAGCGAGCGAGAATCCATAAGGCAGTATCAGTACCCTCTGGTTATTTAACATAGCCATGGAAAATGGCCCATTTATAGATGGTTTACCTATTAAAAACGGTGATTTTCCATGGCTATGTTAAATAACCAGAGGGTAGGTGCTTGAGTGAATGAACCATAACTGGATGAATCCCGCTTAGCAGCTGCATTATGAGCACACACACACACACATATATATATATACATATATACCATACCAGGGTCATTCACCACTTACAAACTGGGTCCAAACAACCCCAAGTAATGAACTCATGCATAAACTCCAGGCACTGCTATGTGAAACTAGCCAGAAACAACTCAGATAACCTGAACTGACACCATGAAAAGTATGGAGGCCGTGCGAGCATCAGATCGCGACCCAAAAATCTGCCGCATCTGCCTGCAACTGGCTCACCTGCCTGAGTGCCTGGCTTGTCATTGGTGATATTCCATGCCCATCCCCACTGGATTGTGTTGATTTGTTCATGAAAACGATGGCGATTTCCACCACTTCCCCCACAGTTTTCCACAGTTTTCCTCCATCGAGGTGCCCCAATGGTGTCGCTCCAACGCCCAGCGCTGCAATTGTAGCAAAAGGTGAGGCCTTCTGAACTCCAGGTGCCAGGATCGCACAACCTCACACGCGAATGACCTCCGGATGAGCCTTGAGCCTTGGGCGACTGATAGAAGTGCAGTTTTTAGGGCTGGTGATGTAAAATGCTTTCTTCAGCCTTCCCCAACTGGTACCTTCTTGTTATTCAACGTAGCCATGGAAATAGCTGGTGGTCATAGGCAGATCATGATGTTGATCATCTATTTCCAAATGGCCCATACCACAGCAAACGGGTTGAATAACCAGAGGGTAAATAACATGAAATCCCATGAAAATCCCATCTCCTGAGTCTCGTTTTTGTCAGGCCGCAGGCAGTCGTCCAAACTGCTCTGACCGCTTTGATCACCATAGCGGCCAGCTGTGCAGTCTTGGCACACGTCCTGGGTCACGATGGTTTTTCCATGCTGTGGATGGGTGCGAAATCCCGCACCGGTAGATGGTAAACATCCCATGATAATCCCAGAGTTACCAATAGTTACCAACTGCTGCAGGATTTTGCAACCACCCACAGCCACAGTATGTTCTGTAGTTTTGTCCAATGGATCACGAAATATCAATGTGAATTCTACATGTACATACCATACATTTTTTTTGAAACGTGCAGACTGCAGAAGTCTGTGCACAGAACCTTAGCCCCTGAAACTGCGAAAAATATGAAGAAAAAGTAGAGGGTAATCGGCTGAGGAGAAACGAATTAAGAATGTGTGAAACACTATTTAAATATATATATATACATACAGTATATATATATATATATATGTTACATATTACTGGGATTGATGAGTAGATTTTACAACTCTTCTATATGACTATATATGTAGCCACGCATTTCCAGAGTTCCACCAAGATTGTTCTCACTGTATAAATCCATGTTATACCTGACATCTCGTGTCTTCGCAGAGAGGTGCCGTGGTGCCACAATGCCACCCACCCCCAGGAGCCCCAGCCGAAGATGCACCAGTTGCGTCACTCCATTTGCCAACCTATCCGCATTTCCCAGGTCTGGCTGCTGGTTTTTTAGGTTTGCGCATTGTCTGAGACTGGGTCTGAGGTAATTTATATGTCCTGCTTAAATTTTGCTTGGTTACCCTCTGGTAATTTAGCATAGCTATTGAAAATGACTCAGTCGAAATAGTGGATTTTCCCATTGAAAATGGTGATTTTCCATAGTTATGTGGCTGTTTACCAGAGGGTACACTTCTTAAATCAACAGTCTTTAGGATATGCGAAATCAACAAGTCTTCCCCCAAGGCCGGCGAAAAAAAAAAAACTGGATTGATCCCAGCTAAACGCAAACACCCCAGGGTTTGCGGCACATTTGTCAAATTGTGTCAACATGAATTGTCCGACCACCTACAATGACATCGCTAAAATGTTTCCAATCAACAAAAATGGAGTTGCTTAAATTCTCGATTTGTCAATTGTGCCTCTTTCCAAGTTGCATTTCTTTCCATGTTGTCTCCATTTGCTATCTTTGCCAGTTTCCAAGTTGCATTTTACCTTTCCATTTTTTCTGCAATTGTCATGCTTGCCTCTTTCAGAATTACATGTTTTAATCCCATTTGTTTTTGCACTGTTTCTCCTTTTTATCAAAATGTAAACATCCATCAGCACAAGCGCAATTCGACAGCACAAGTTCAACCCATCTCATCAAACTCATCTGTGGTTCCAGCTCAACATGGATACAACCACGACTCCCAACCACTCCCTCCACTGATTCGTAGCAAAAGACATTTCTTTTCGGATACGTTATATGATATGTATGTGTAGGTATGTAGGTATGTAGGTATGTAGGTATGTAGGTATGTAGGTATGTAGGTATGTAGGTATGTAGGTATGTAGGTATGTAGGTATGTAGGTATGTAGGTATGTATGTAGGTATGTAGGTATGTAGGTATGTAGATATGTATGTAGGTATGTAGGTATGTAGGTATGTAGGTATGTAGGTATGTAGGCATGTAGGCATGTAGGCATGTAGGCGTGTAGGCATGTAGGCATGTAGGCATGTAGGCATGTAGGCATGTAGGTATGTAGGTATGTAGGTATGTAGGTATGTAGGTATGTAGGTATGTAGGTATGTAGGTAAGTATGTATGTATGCATGCATGCATTAATGTATTATATATATAATATATGTATTAAGTTATCATAATGCACCAACCCAAAAATTATGAGATACTTCCCGCTACATTCACCATCATTGTAGTGGCGTCCACCAGGTCCACCGTTTCCATCCGACAAACCTCGCACTCTTGGCAAATGGTGACTCCCAGCTGATCACTCCAGGTCCCTTTGGCCTGGGATTTGCACATAGCTATTGTTTTTTGGGGGTAAATCATGGAACTAAATGGGTCATGGCTTCCATAGCGAACTGTTAAATTACCAAAGGGTATACTGACGGCATACTGTATGTATGCATGTATGTATAAATTCATGTTATTTTATATTATACATTATTATATGATATTATATTATACTATATTATATTATACTTCAATCTTGTTTCATTTTTTAGTATATTATCTTATAGAATATAGATTGTACATTATTTTCTATTTATTTTGGTATATATTGTAGACTGTATTAAAAATAATATAATAATATATTATATTATATTATATTATATTATAATATATTATATTATTTTATATTATATTATATTATTTTATTTTATTTTATATTTTATATTATATCATATATTATATATTATATATTATATTATATATTATATTATATTATATTATATATTATATTATATTTATATTTATATTTTACATTATTATCTTGCTGTACACATATATATATATATATGTATGTATATATATATATATACATACCTGTATATACATATATATATATATGAAAGTATAAACATATATGTGCACAGTCGCACAGTGCATCTATACCTGTATTAACATGTAAATGCATACATGTATGGACAGGGTAGCTAGGGTAATACTATATCTCCAATATTCCCCAGTCAAGTGATATCAAAAAAGAGGTGGCAAAAGAAGGTCAAATGATACAGTACAAGGTGATGGCCAAGATATGGAAGATGTAGAAATCCCATCCCGAATATGAAAAACACCACCATTGTATGGTCCCAAAAAAAATGTGGAAATTCCATGAAATTCCCTACTAAACCATGGTGTCTAAGGGGCTGTTTCATATTAGGGGGGGAAGGGATTACCCTCTGGTAAACTACTAGTTTGCTATGTAAAATCCACCATTTTGAGGTAAATCAAGTATTTCTATGGGCCATTTTCAATAGCTATGTAACAAACTACCCGCTGGTAAATTGTGAAAATGGCCATTTATAGTTGATTTTCCCATAAAAAATGGTGATTTTCTATAGCTATGTTAGTTTACCAGAGGGTACCAAGTTGCTATGAAAACATCGGTCCCCGGGTGTTTCTACCAAGAGACGCAAGACTGACAGCTGTTGAGCTCAGATCCGCCGGGGACATCCTGAGATCGGATGTCGGGAGAATCGATCCGATCCCTTTGGGTAATCAAACATACCCTCTGGTAATTTAATGGAAACACTATGGAAAATATGGTGATTTATTGGCCATTTGTTTTTGTAGACATTGTAGGGTTTGTCGTTTTTTTTCTCACCCAAAGTGGTGCCCCTTGGCACGTCCCATGTCTGTCCGAGGCACTGAGAAGCGTCCGGCAGGGCATTGCTGGCAAGTGGAACTGGCCACCGCTGCCACAGCATCGCTCCAGGTGCCTAGGAGTTCGCAACCATCCACAGTGACTCATGTAGCCGTTTAGGACTGTGAACCCATATGTGACAAATATATATATATATATTATAATACTATTTTATATTATTATTATTATTATATATATATATATGTGTGTGTGTCTATAATTATACTATGTGTATAAGTGCTATCTATATTATGAATGTATAATCACATATAAGCATTGATAAGCATTGATTGAAGAACCGTATTTGTGTGGTCATGATGATATATGACTATACATTATATATATAAATATATATATATATATATATTATCATGATTCTTTAATCACACAAATTATCATCATATTATCACTGGTTGGTGGTTTCAACCCCTCTGAAAAATATTAGCCAGTTGGGATGATTATTCCCAATATATGGAAAAATAAAAAATGTTCCAAACCACCAACCAGATCATCATATGTGTGTATTATACTAAAAGATAGTATACTATATTATAGTATACTACATGATAATATTTGATACTATCATCGTATTTTACTATCATATGTTATCATCATATTAAATCATATATTATCATCATTATATTATATTGATATACTATATGATAGTATTACTGTCATATATTATCATCATATCATCCCAATCCTCTACACTGTCACTGTCCTCCGCGCCTGCCGCACACTGTGAACACACCGTCATGGCCACAAGGTCGCTCCAGCGCCCAGCAGGGCATTCCAAACACTCCGAGGCGCCCGCGTAGTCCACGAAGCTGGCGGGTGTGAAATCATTATGATTAATTGGTGGTTTACTGGTATAGCATTTACCCTCCATAAATGGTGGTTTAATGGTGGTTTAATGGTGATTAATGATTACTAATGGGATTGGCATGGGTTAGTACTAATGGGATTAGTAATCATTAATAACCTATAATATCTATAATAACCGATTAATGGCGATGACCATCTGGTTATTTAACAGTTCGCCATGGGATAGATGGCCCACAGAAATAGATGGTTTATATACCTGTTAAAAATGGTGATGTTCCATGGCTCTGTTAAATAACCAGAGGGTAATGGGATTAGTATGGGTTCTTAATGGTTACTGTCTATCAATGGCTTATGAAAATCGGTTATTATAGGTTATTAATGATGACTAATGTGGGTAAAACAATACCATAAACCACCCATGACTGGGAATGGTAAACATAGCACCTATAAAAATGGTGATGACTAGGGGATTGTTTATGACATTGTTTTACCAACATTAATCATTTTTAGTAACATCTAGAAAAAACATGTGATTCACTGGTGAATTGTGATCTTTTACAGTAAGTAGGGGCTTGATGACTTGCCTATGGTCGCCTATGGGCGAATACCTCAGCCACCTATCTTTCCAACGGCTTGTGGGCGCTTCCTAGCTCTTTACACATCTATTGAACGTTAACCCCAGATTCATACAGCATCAAAAACACCAGATGCTACCATGTGGTTAGCTCCTTGGCTCCCCATTTGTGTTTACGAGGCAATTTGTTGTGTAATAATTACCCTCTGGTAAACTAACATAACTATGGAAAATCACCATTGTTCATAGGAAAATCCACTATAAATGGCCATTTTCAATAGCTATGTTCGTCATTACCAGAGGGTAGATACGACCATGGCTCCTAACGGCCCCAGTGGCAGAAGCTCCAACCTTCCAAGACTACAATCCTCGCAGGTACTTGAGCTGGTCGCAGCCGTGGTGTTGCTCGCCGTCCCTGCCTGGAAGTGGTCTGTTTTCAGCTGGGTCGAATTTTAGAATGCACTGTACCAACCAGAAATGGCACGAACATAGTCCAACATCCATCCAAAATACATCAAATCTGGGTAAATTCGAATATTTCACAAAGTTGAAATAAGGCGATTGTGGGATAATTCCCAAAATCTGGGTATATTCCCATTTGGTAAATCAAATTTGGGATAATTCCCCCAATCCTTTCACCATCACTCCAGGCTTCGGTACAACACTGAGGATCCACCTGACAGTCCTCACAGGCTGTGGCGCTACTGCTGCTCCATGTTCCTGGGATTCGGATAGGACTATGATTTGTTTATAACTATTATATTGTTGTACTTAAAGTAAAATAGATAGTTGGAATGATGTTTACCGTTTCTGTTCTTAATGTTACTCTTCTTGTTATTATTAGTGTTATGATATTATCATTTATTATCGCTATATACTATTGCTATCTATCACTGTTGTTATTATATATAATATATCATTACTAATTGCTATTATGTTATTACCATTATCATTATTTTGCATATTATTACTATTGTTATAAATTACCACTATTATTACCATTATAAGTTATTACTATATAATATGTATTATTTAGTATTGACCCCTGCAGTAGGCTCTAGCCGTCAAAACCATATGATTGACATGCATAGAAGATCATAGAAGTGCTGTGCCCAAGGCCCTGCCCAGCACCGCCGGAGCGTGGATCCTGCTGGACATTGCTGGCATAGAGTGAGAGAGCCCACGGCCGTTTCGTTGCCTCAGCAACACTGACGGTCATAGAACCCAGGCCATGCCATGCCAGGCCAATAAAGCTCAAACCCGTGGAGGTGCTAGCGGCTAGCGTCTTCTTTTGGAGAATTTCTGTATGTTGCCGCATCCTACAGGTAGCATCAAACAGTTTGTTTCTCACCACCTGAAACATCCTGAAATAGAACAGTATCCAAGGTATCCTTTCTTCCTCACAAGCTGATTATCCCCTTGGATGGAAACTGGTTGACATTGGAAACCACCAGTGGTCCACACCACGTCCCATCCGCCCTGCACCGCAGCTGAGATGCTGAAAGTTCCAGCAGGGCATGCGATGCAATCCGATGGGCTGGTGGCACCAATGAGCTCGCTGTAGCTACCTGGTGGGAAGATGCTACCCTCCAGTAACGTAGAATGTGGCAGTAGGGGTTGGAAATGGTTGGAAGACTAGGTTCCACTAAACATTGGTGATTTTCGAGGTTTATGTTTCTATGTTAATTTACCGGAGGGTAGCGGAGTCATGAGCACAGAAATCGGAACTGCTGCAACCAGCTCTTCTACATGCCGTGGGCGGCCTGCAGGACATTCGCTGCACTCGGTGCTGCCCTCTGAAACTGCATACCTGCATGGTTTCTTGGGGCTGTGTGGGGCCAAAAAAGTGGAGCTGTGAGGGTTACAGCATGCATTCTCGAAGGGTTCATTCCTTTTCATTCAATGATTGAACATCATTCAGTTCAGAAATGCGACTGCTATATATGCTGCTCAAATCCATGCAGATATTCGAAGCTACTATCAAATACTATAAGATACATAACATGGTGAATCCAAGAAACCTGCCAACAAAAATATATTAGATATCTTTATTCATTTTTAGCTAGTTAGGACTCATTTTACCATTGATGCCTAAAGATTCAAGTACCTAGTAAAGTAATCTGACCAGTCGCTTGGCCCAGTATATGACGGGCCTCCCAGCTGGGCAGAGGACGCAACTCTCGAAGCCTCCCAGCCCCTCGGAGGCTCCAGCGCGGCCGCTGGGGCATATACTGCAGGTCTCGTTGCTGGTGGCGCCCGAACTGCAAAAGGATGGGATGGCTTGTCCATCACGGGGCCCCCATCCCCTTACTATGAAAATTTCCCATAGACATCATGGTTTAATATGTTTTATATAGGTGTTTTTAGTAGGTAATTGCCACATCATTGGGACCATTAAGGGGGTGTTTAATACTTTGGGGAGATGAATTACCCTTTCAAGCGGGAGGGGTACCACATTAAAATGAGGATTTGGGCCAAAAATGCGTGGGTGTTGTCTATGTGGTAGAGAGCTTGGGCTCCCAACATCAAGTCGCTTAGCAAGTTCAGCAGAATCGAATTGGTATTTAGGTAGTCAATGTGCAAGTCATGCCCAAAAAAAAGCAAACTACGGAGGATTTGACGAACCCTCCCGAAGGTGACACTTGAGGGATGTTGGGATGCAACTGTCATGCCTACAATGCTTGTACCCTCTGGTTAACTAACATAGCTATTGAAAATGGCCATTTATAGTTGAATTACCCATAAAAAAATGGTGATTTTCCATAGTTATGTGAGTTCACCGGAGGGTAATCAATCTGTGCCGCAACGTCAATGACAAATCTTGAGTTGGACAAGTTGGACGTCCCCCGAATCGCCTCGCATTGCCGTACCAGCCAGCGGGACACAAGCTACACTCGCTCTGCCGTGCTTCCCTTAGCCGAACTTTGCCCTCGAAGGAGAACAATGAAGCGGAAAACCCTAGAAGATAACATATATAGCGAGTATATAGATGGCATATATGTCGTAAAATCTGTATGTCATACATGCTAATTAGAGACTTAAAAAAACAGGGGGGCAGAGAATGGATGAAACCACAAAATAGAATCAGAATCGCTTGACATCGGTTGAATACCAATAGAGTTTGTCCAACTTGTGCCCAGTCACTCACCATAGCTGCCCGGGGGACAGGAGGTGCACGTGTCTGTTGGCGACACTGCATAGCTTCCAGCAGCGCATTCCTGAGCCCCATAACGTGCAACATGCCAAATTCGAACAGAATGCTCCTACCCTTTGGCAATCCCACCATTTGCACGATTTGCAGATGATTGACCTATTGAAACCGATTGAGAGCAAGGACTTTCCCTTGCCATATGAGGTGACCTGAACTATGGCTGTTGCCCATTCTTCCAAGGATCAATGCAAGATGTAGAAGCATAGCTGGAATCGCTGCGACTGCCTCATGGAGCCCCAAATGATGCCAACACGGGCGCCCTTGGATTAAAATTTGGGCACAACACAACGCCTCGGAGTCACCAGGCCTGATTCACATTGGAGGCAACTGGTGGAAGCCACAGCAGGTTGGTAGTACCCAGCCCTGCAATCAGTGCACTGAGACTTCCCTGGCGGCGCCGGGAACGTCCCAACCTGCTTTCAACCCGCAAAGGTCTTTCGAGATTTTTGATGAAACCTATATTTTTTTGTGGGGGATATATATATATATATATTCAATATACATATTAACATGTATGTATATATATATATATACATCTCAAAGTGTTATATGAAACTCGATACTACTCGCTCTTCCGCAGCTTTTCTTTTTCACAGCACTGCCAATGTCAATCACATTTCACCTGCAATCCTCAGGTTTGCTTTGGGTCGTCACGTTGTGACATGTACATAGCCTCAGACCAGTGTCACCACTGGTCAGCTGCCTGGCAACCCAGGCTGGAACCTGCTCAGCAGGTATCACCCATCCCTTAAACCTAAGGGAGGGAAGGCTCTCTTGGTCGCCCCAAGAGAGGATCCCCGAGAGAGGCTATGGACTCGCCTGCCGTGCAGGCTCCCCTAACCTAGGCGGACATCTCCACGGGAGGTCGGCTCTTAGGGTTGGGAGGGTGGGGAAAGAAAACAGCAATGAATGCTATTTTGGTTCAAGTTTACTTGAGCCAAAATGATAGCATTCATTGAACACTTGAAGATGATACATGCACACCCAAGCCTGCCAAACTCGATGCATGGGTACATCTCAAAGTGTTATATGAAACTCGATACTACTCGCTCTTCCGCAGCTTTCCTTTTTCACAGCACTGCCAATGTCAATCACATTTCACCTGCAATCCTCAGGTTTGCTTTGGGTCGTCACGTTGTGACATGTACATAGCCTCAGACCAGTGTCACCACTGGTCAGCTGCCTGGCAACCCAGGCTGGAACCTGCTCAGCAGGTATCACCCAATGCACTCAAATCCCCAAAGCACTATAGGAATTCAAAGGTGAGAATGACAGCGACGAAAGGCAGCTGGAAAAAGATAGTGGGAAGGTACGACGAATAAAAGTCAAAACCATGGCATCGCCACCATGGGTCCTCAGCGCCGAGGCGGCTGATGTCATCAGCCCAGTTGCTCTTGCTCTGGACGTACTCCCAGTAACCCTGGGCTCGCAGTGCAAACAGAGCTAGATGGATCAAATGACCTAGCTTGGCTAAGTCGGCATTGCTAGAACGTCCTCTCACTAGCGTCATGACGGCTGCAACATTGTCCAGAAACCAAAGCCCGTGTCGATTTCGAAACAGGTCAGGTCGTTCCACTAAGGCGTACAGCACCATCGAGAGCTCCAACTGGGCGATGTGTGTGTCTGCAGGCTGCCATAATTTCTGAAGCTCTGCACAATTGTTGGCTACAAAACTGTGACGTATCTGGGATCCGTCAGGCTGGAAAAAGATGAGGTGAAAACCTCCTGAGCCTGGATTGTCAGCTTCCACTGCAGCATCTGAAGCAGCAAGGAATCGCAGGTTGTCCAGGTGAAGTACGGGAAACTCCCGTTTTGGCTGAAAGCGCATCACTGCTTCGATCACCTCGAAGCATGCTTCAATCTCAGGGGTTACCGCTGTAGTGGTTTCATCCTGTCTGGCTTTGATTGCCATCAGGCCACCATATCCTACACGGCCATAAATACCCTGCTCCAGGAAATTCGCTAGGCCATACAACTTCGAAGCTGTGCCACGGCTGAAGTGACCTGTAGTCCTGGCCGTATTGAGGAGGTCACGAACTTTATCATGAAGACGTTCTCGAGCCCAAAAACGGACATGCCCTGTCTGGTTGATGCAGTCGAGGTCATGGGTTAGGCCCAAAAAGGTGCCTGTGCTCTGCATTGACTGCTTCTTGTCTTCGGCAAAGGGGGAGCCGATCAACTTGCAAAGCTGGTTCATGGCCCATTGTCCGGAGCCTTTGGAAGAACGTAGGTCTGTGATGGTCGCATCGTCGAAGTAGAGAGATGTCAAAACTTGGCAAAAACGCCTGGCTAGAGCTTCCAACAACCGGGAAAATCGGTTGAATGAAGTGACAGCTAACGGAAGTCCAAAAAGGAGGCCTGCATAGACCTGATAGGCTGGAGTTTGCCATTCATGGTGGTACCACACCACTACGCAGCCTAAGCTTTCCTGCATCGCCATGGGGCAATACCGGTAGGCTGATGGTAGATCTTCTTGGCCTGTCTCCCAGGCATCGTTGGCGAAGAAGTGGTCGATATCCTCGGCTGTCCATCTATGCATCACCAAACGAATGTGCTGGGCCGGACGCAAAGGACTGCACAAGGTGAGCTTGTTGGCATCGGAGGAGAGGGCTGATTGTCCTCCTGTGTCGCCATTGTCGATCACTCTCTGCTTGCCTGAGCTCTGCGTGATGACACAACGAGGGATCAAACGATGTGCTCGGTTACCAATGAGCCGCAAAAATTCGGCTCGTCGCAGAGGTGCGGTGCAAAACCCGTTGTTGGCATCCTCCATGGATTGTTGCAAGAGAAACTCGTCATCTTTGCCTGCTCGCAGCTGTTTCAGGATGTGCTGGTTGTGCTCCTGCCATCCATCCAAAACATCTGCCATGCTGATCACCTCAGCCGGCTGCTGGGGAAAAATTCCATAGGGTGGCGCGTAGCCCACTGCCGGCAAACCACAGATCAAGCCAAAGGGGAAGCTAGTGTCAGCCCAGGATGTCAACACCATCAACAATGCTATGAGCCCCATATCTCGATGTTTTGTGACTTGCTGCACGGCGGTTTCTTGAAACGACCTCAAGTGGAGGGTCACCCCCTCCCAGCGTCTCTTCAGCTCACGCAGTGCCCCCACTGCCTGTTGCCTCCACGGCCTCAGCGATTTGGTCGGGGATGCATATGCATCGGCCACGAACTCCAAGTCCATGTCGGATACTGGAAGGTCTTCATAGGGCAACGGCCGCTGGGCCCGTTGGAGGGCTTGTTGGAAATGATCATCTGGCTCCAAGTTGAACGCCAGGAGTGGTGGTAGTGCTGCTTTGTGCGTCATTGCACCGACTTGGCATCCATCTCCAATTCGGGCCATTTGCCTCACGGACCCCGCAGCAAGGTGGGGGACTAAAGGACCGTCCCAAGCCTCACCACGCTCTGCCAACCATGCTGCGTAGGAACAAAACGGCGGGCTGTTGATGAGGTCCTCCACCATCGCAAACTTGTAGCTCTTGAACCAATGCTCGGGGAAAAGCTTACGAAATGCCAGCACTACTGCCTCTTGGCTCATCATGGGTAGGGCTACTCCTTTGGGGATCGCCTGAATACCTTGCAACAATGTAACTGCCCGGCTCCATTTGCCATCTGTGCCTCTGCTGCCTGGGTCGCCCCCAGGGGCCATGGCATCGAAGTAGAGTCCAATGAGAAGATCGGCCTCGCAAAGTTGCTCCATGGGACAGTCGCAAGCTAAGGCCATGCCCTTGAGCTCATGCAGGGCGTCCCACAACGGCGATGTGCGGATATGGACAATGTACCGTGCATGCCATTCTCCAGCCTCGCAATTGTGGCCTGGTGTCCAAGGCGATTTCCACTTGGTCGTCGTCAGCCGATGGTGGAAGCTGCCTCGCCCGACATAGATTGTCTGGTGCGGCAACTTGTTCTTCTCGATCATGACGTCCTGTGCGAGCTTCCTGACTGGTAACCCCGGTCGTTCGGCTCGCAGGGATTCTGTCAGCCCGAGTGTCACCGCCAAAGGTGCCATGGCCCACTCTCGCATTGCGCGAGGGTCCATGTCCAGCCAATGCTCCCGTCGCCCCACAGCCAGAAATGTGGGCATGCGAGGAACGTGCAACTTGGCCATCCCTCGACGGGCTGCCCACCAACTCGCTGAGACTGCAATGGAGAAAGCAAGGATTGCCGTGTACTCTGCCTCTTCTTTGGAAGGGTAAACTCTTATGCCATCAGATGTGTAGGGGGTCCATTCTTGTGGGTCATGCACGTGGTGGCAGTTGGCTGGGGGCCATCGCTGGATCTCCTCCACATTGTGTCGCAACACCTGATGCTTGCAACGTGCGCCACCTAAGGTGCATGCCGCGTACGATGTGTCAACCCATTGTCCAGACTCCCACATGGTCACCTCTGCTGAGGTCCACCAGTGCAAAGAACGGGCAGGGTTCTCTCGTACACTGCCTCCACCTCTGTCTCTCAGCTTCTGGATCTCTCCCAAGACGTAGTTACATGCCTTGTTGTCCATGTCAACCCTTTTGGCATCTCTGCCCGTCAAGTGAGGCAGGCCATCTGGGTAGACTTCAGAACGGAGAGGGCCAGGTGCTGGCCTACCATCTTCGAACTTCCGAGGAATCTCTCTGGCTCGGCTTTTGGTGGAGCAATCGATGGCCGCTGCGATGAAGATCACCTCTTCAAGTTGCTTGCTCAAAGATCGCTGCCTGCGCTCGTCCGAGAGGTCATGGCTCTCGTCCAGCAACCAATCTACTGTCAGGCAGCTCCAGCCACAGCTGACAAAGGCTTTGGTAAGGGGGGCATTGGGACCCGCCATAAGATCCGCCATTAGAGGTCGCCCCTCCTGCGGCTCTATGCCGTCTGACCCAAAAGAGGCAGCCGCCTCCTCTTCTGGGGTGTGTCAACGCTTGCCAGTGCAATTGGCCGCCCCATGATTGAAAGCTCCACACACTCGGTCTTTCCTGATAACCGCTGCGCAACGGTGGGCTCCTTGGGGGCATGGCTTGGCTTTGCACCCTCCACGTTGAAACTGGGGGCAAAGTTTGGTGCCGTCCTTCATGGCCGTCGCCACCTGTTTACCATTGATCGGTTTCCCCAACTTCAATGGCGAAGTACTGGGCTGGACTTTGGATGGACTCGCAGTCGAAGCTGCTGTGGGGGCAGTGGTCTTTTTCTCCGGAGTAGCCGGCCCAGGGGCTGACCAGTGCGCATCCCTGGAGGTGTAGACTTCGCTGATCACCTGGCCCAGACTCATGGTGGATTCACGGAACTTGGAGACCCATTCGCTGCGCTCCTCCACGTCTTTGGCCTGCAGCCATTGCATACGCTGTGACGCAGGCAGCCCTGTCACTGTGCGCTTGGCCCTGAAGTAGTACTTGTAGACTACATCCATGGGAACGT